AGTTCCGACTTTAACCTCAGAGTTCCGACTTTAACCTCAGAGTTCCGACTTTAACCTCAGAGTTCCGACTTTAATCTCAGAGTTCCGACTTTAATCTCAGAATTCCGACTTTAATCTCAGAATTCCGACTTTAACCTCAGAATTCCGACTTTTATCTCAGAATTCCGACTTTAACCTCAGAATTCCGACTTTAACCTCAGAATTCATACTTTTATCTCAGAATTCTGAGAAAAAAGTCAGAATTCTGAGATTCAGGCCAGCATACCCTCAGTAATACGCATTCCATAGAATGTCCTCTGACTCCGCCCTCCTAACAGCCAATCAGGCTGTTTTATTTCCATAGTAATACTATTTAGCACTAATCTCACATCTGCAACCAGCGGTTGCTCAGATTTTGATCATAACATTGTTTAAACTACAATAGTTTTAACCAACTAGATTGGTTGGAAAAACAACCAATCTATTCTTAGAATCTATCCAACTGACAGCAGCTCTCCTACAAACTCCCACATCTTGACAGAGTAGTGATGCTGTTTAAATGCCTGTGGAAGTTCTCGTGTTGCCTAAACCACTTCCTGAAGCGGTCACATGGTATCACAGTAGCGAGGCTTCGGACGTCGTCAATTTTGGCCCCTCCCCTAAAGGAGTCACACCTCGACACGCCCTCACGCCTCATCTCATAACATCCCTAAAATACGGCCAAACCGAAGCACAGCAGACTTCCTGTTCAGAAACACGTTGGCTGAGCGGCAGAAGGATCAGCGGAAAGACGAGCGGCCAGAGATCCGCCTCTCTCGCTCTTTGCTCCGCCCACATACAGTCAGAAAAACTGCCACAGAACGAATGTCTGTTTTCTTTGAATTTATGTTTTCCTTTGATTTGAAAAGTCAGACATTTTGCTCATTGATTAAGACGTTTTACGTCTAAAATAAGAAAAAAAATCTCAGGTATTTTCAATGCATAGATGCACTTTAAGAAATGTTTACCTGGTTTTTATCAGTTTGCAGCGTAGCTGTGCTGCTTATTGGCAAGACGGGAGCAAATTAATACGGAAAAAATTTAAAAGTGGTAAAGTTTCTAAAAATTGTGACTTTTCAGTTTGAAATTAAAGGGAAAATTCCTGAAGAAACTAAACAGAAAAGGCTGCAAGAAAATGTTGGACTTTCCTCTGAATCTTTTTCCTGAACGTTGAGACGAGTCGGACAAAATAAATCCTTTGTTCGCATAAAAAAAATGTCTGTTAAAAATATGTTTATAAAGAAAGAAGTTCCCCAGATTAGACAGAAACATGATCTTAAAGATCATATTTCCTTTGCTAAAGCCCCGCTGCCTCCTGCCAACATCAGCGTGTCGGAGAAAGAATCCAGACGGCTGTCACTCCAATAAAATCACACGACAGGCGGAGAACAAAGCTCAGCTGTTTGCAATTTCCATCATATTTCCTTCACCCTAATCTCTTCCCACCCAGGTGTAATTAAGGAGCGCGGTGAGTCACCACACACGCAGACTAACGGCGACAGCCAGGATGGCGGTGCCGCTCACCTTCCACGGATTAAGCCCGAACCTTCGGGTTTCCTGGGAGCTGCCTCCATATTTACCCCCAGACAGAAAACCGCTGCAGCTGCAGTAAACTGCTTTAACCTGTTGTGCTCATCGTCAGGGTGACAGAGTGAGCAGCCTACTTCCTCACAGCGACTGTGGAGGATTGACTCGTTAAGGAAGGATACGACTCGGAGTCCTCTCTCGATGGGATCCGTCAGCAGCAGGCCTCGTGGCGCGTAGACCTTCTCATTCTGTTCCTGGATATATTTAGCAATCTTCTTCAGAACCTTAAAAAGAAGTAAAAACATTTTTACTCAGAGACTCTCTGTCTGCAGCTATAAAACCAAAGTTATTTTGATTAACATCCCAGCAGCATAAAGGACATTTAAACCAAAGATCTTTAACAGGATCAGCCGTAGTTTCCTGTGTTTCTTTGGATCAGCTGACATGTTGTTTATTAACCGATCATTTTAAAAACAAGGCTCAGTCATTGACCAGCAGAAGGTCAGAATGACGGTGCAGTATGGAGGACCAATTCTGCCATATTTAAAATACAGAAATAAATAAATGCTCAATAAATGTATTAGGGCTGCATCAACGAATCGATAAAAATCGTCTTTTAAAAGCGTTGGCAACGACTTTCATCATCGATTAGTTGTGTCGCGCGATTAATGCTTCATCCGCCGCCGTCGTCATCACTGCCACTTGATTGAAACGCGGGAAGAAA